CAGGCTGAAACGACACAGGGTCTGTAGGCCCTTGTTTCAGGCTTTCAGGCTGAAAACGACACGGGCCTGAAAATGGCCCGTGCAGCCTCTTGCAGGCGCAACATGTAACAGGTAGTGATGTCCTGTAGTGTCGTAGAAGTTAGAGAGTGTCGTGTTAGAGAGTAACTTAAAGGACTTCCCTGCACCACGCTAGACTCTTGAAAAGTCTAGTGTAGTGCATCGCTGCACTTACTCTCACTTGGCAGCCTCCAGAAACCCCGTTGAGAGTTGTCAGACCACACACTAGAAGGGCACTCTCAAAAAGTACAGAGTGGCCCGCTGCACTTACTCTCAATTGCCGCTCGCCAGAAACCCCTTTCAGAGCTGTCAGGCCACACACTAGAAGCGCACTGTCAAAACGTAGAGAGTGGCCCGCCTGCAACATTTTGGTTTTCTAGGCTTGCCTACAACATTTTGGTTTTCTAGGTTCCTCTCGTATTGCCCACTTCCCGGCTCCTCCGGTGTGCAGACCATCCTAGCCTTGTCCTGTAGTGCTCTCGGAGCAGGGCAGGGTTTTGAGAGTCATTCTACAGTTCAAGAGTCTAGTGGTAGTGCAGCCATGCCTGGAAAGTCCAAAGAGTTTCACCTCTCTGAGAGCACTACCGTCTTCACCCGAATAGAACGCCCGGTCATTATAGCTGCATTTGGCACAACATTCAGTCCAGATGCAGCGATAAATATTGCAATGGGCGTTTTATTCTTCAACACTCCAAATTTTTAGAGTCTAGTGTAGTGCAGCGATGTGACGCCCAACCTCACGCCCAACACGACTTCCTGTTTTCGGAGTGTTAGTGGGCCTGGAAGTGTGAAAAAGGGGTGTGCCAAGGATTTTAGGAAAGTGAGGGGTGGAGTTCCAGGTCGGAACTGGAATTTCCTGTGTCAAGCTCCAGGGGTAGAAGTGCAAGTGTCTCCGAGACACCATACGCTCCGAGAAACCATACGCGGCCCAGGCCGCGAGATTGGCAATCGCCCCAACTCTGGGGCGATTGCCAATTTCGCGGTCTGGGCCGCGTATGGTGCTCGAGTGGGGCGCTACGGGTGTCCCGGTGGGAATGCTCGTACCGTTGTCAGCCAACGCAAGTCTCCGAGGCTGATGAGGATGAATTGCGCTCTCGCTGTTCTGTTTCGGAACGGGTTCGTCGAGTGACCCCCGCTGGACGGTACTCGTCGTGCTGCTGACACTCTGAGCACGGCGGTCGGGGCCAGAACCGGGCTATGGATTCCTAGGGGACGACGAGTAGTCGGTGATACGGGAGGACAATGTAATAGGGAGGGAAGTTAGTGGTGATGGCCACGAAGCCTGGGGTTAGAAGGTAATGCTGGGTTCGACTGTCGGGATAATCCGGGATCCGTGAATCTCTGTTTATTGCCAGCTGGAAATCGCCCCTGCACAGTTGCTCGGTTCTAGTTCGGCAGGGGTACTCAGGATTCCGTAAGTTCCGTTGACGTCTGGTCTGTTGCCGTCTGACTTGTTCCCTTTCCCAATACGCTCAGTATTCCGGATCTCTCAGGCTCTCATGATCAGGTTGGCTCTTGCACACACGCTCGTAGGCTGCATGTCACCTCTGTGGGCGGCTACCTTACGCATGCATGCGCATGAGCCGGCCGATCGGATCAAAGACTGCGTGCGAGTATGTTGCCAACGAGCGATTTACCTACGTGTCGGTTTATCTTGTATGTCTGCAGTTAGTCCTTTCGTGCAACTGTTATCCAAATCTCAAGCAGAACTAATCATTGCATACATGCTCACACCATCATATGCAAAAGAGGGCAGAGTTAGTTTAGCATCCAGAGCCAACGCACCTTGTGATCCTCGCAATCATGCGCGACTCAAAAAAAACAAGTGATTGGACAAGATGCGCGCGAGGGACGTATCTGGCCCAACCTTCGGGAACTAAATTTTCCGCAGGTCGTTATACGCACACGCAGACGGGTACTCGAAAGTGACGAAATCGGAATTGAGCAAAACAAAATTGGAGATTAAGGACAACTCAAAGGAGGGGACGCGAGTTCATTGACCCTCATGCATACATATACACACAGCAGATAGTCCGAGATGATTCACACAAGAAATCCGAAGGTGCCGCAACAAAATTGACCAACGTTGGAATCAAAACTTTACATAGAAGGTAGGGAGAAGAAGACATTGTTTCACCATATCCCTGTCTCGCTCTCTCTCTCTCTCTCTCTCTCTCTCTCTCTTTCTCTCTCTCTCTCTCTCTCTCTCTCTCTCTCCTTCTTTCTTCTCTCGATGCGGGCAGTCCGTCGCCCCGCATCTCCAAAGCCACACAGAGTCGTCACCCCGCTTGGCCTGAGTGTGCAAGCCAAGTTCGCCCACGTGCCACAGTCCTTCACGACCACACGTCAACCCCGCGCACTCAGCACCAGCTCGTCGGATCGCCCAACTCTCATACTCACTCACCTTCCAAACTTGCTCGTTAGCCGACCCTCACTGATCGCGCTAACCTTGAGATTCTTAGAGAGACAACTAATCGCGCTTGCGAAAATTATAGCATGCATACTTGCGCGAGGGATACGGGATTATCCCCAAGTGATAAGAAAGAGAAGAGAGGAAGTGCCTACCGTGACGTCTGCATGTCCAGGCCGCGGCTTGGGGGACAGAGCCACTCTCCGCGCATCGATCCGGGCATGCAAACGTGGGAACCACTTAGAACAGAGGAAGAGTGTGCGTGCGAAGACGAGGCGGGAAAGAAAGAAACACAAAAGCCATCAAGAACAAGAAGATTACAGTTTCGATTGTGCCCGCCAAAAACTATAGTTACACACAGAATTAACGCGCGGATGGAAATCAGAGCCCAGACCCTGTCGAGGCACGGTGCGTGCGAGCAAGAAGCATTGTGCAGCCAAATTGCAAGGTGCCTAAATTCCTAGTCTAAATCATTATTGCAAGAGAAAATTCCGAAAGAAAAATAATTCCAAGAGCCTGCAGGGGCTCGACACTAGTTCGAATTTTAAAAACAAAAATTTCCGCGTGGCGCTCGCTAATCGCACCAAAATTCCTTGTGCTCACTGCAGAACAAGAAAGAAGCTATGGCAACCGTTATTTCTCACGCTTGCTAGGGCGCGGTTACTCAATCGTCGGCGCGGGGCTTTCCCGGCACCGGCCCAACGAATTCTAATAAAAACGAAAAGAAGCGAGGGCATCCATGCAACTTGCCCAACCGATCCCCGCTTACGCCCGTCACCCATCAAAGCCCTCATGTTTCCCTACAGTAGCCTCGCGCAGGAAGTCGCACGATTACAGAAGATAGTTCGTCACAGCGAGGCCCTACGTGGATAGAGGCTGCAAAATTCGAGAGTGTGGAGGGTCTTTACAGCTCCTGAACTACTCTCAAAATTTTAATGAGTGGAGAGACCCTAGGACTGTGGAGTAGATCCGGATCTGGGGGTGGGTTCCACGAGAGCGAAGAGAACTACGGTAGACTGTAGAGGGAGAAGGTTACCGTCCACAGTCGAAGGTCAAGTATTTATTAGGGTCTGATCCCACCACTACACTACCAAATTGAATGTAGTGGCGAAAAAGTACTACGAAGATGCCAGCGACCCTGGTGGGGCAGAAAAGACAAATTGGATCCCACAAAGCCTAAGGGTCTGATCCTACACTACTTACGGTAAGTAAAAAAAGGTGTTTTGCCGGATCCTACATGATTCTGCAAACGAAGGCCGCTGCACAAGCTTCGGAGGTAAGTAGAAACGTTTGAAGTCGTGGCGGGCAGGGAATAATCGTCGCCGAAAACCTTGAGTGAATTTGGAAGAGAACCGAGTTGGTTCCCTGTAGTGAAAAAGGAGGATTTTTTTCTTTTTTTTTTTGAATTTTGTTGTGTCCGTTTCGTTGGGCTGGCCACACAAATGGCAAGAGGACGAAGGGGGAGGGGGGGGGGGGCGGCAGTGTCCGTTCAAGTGGACCGTTTTCGTGTCGTAAAAGAACCCGCCCAACCAAAAGCGCAGATCCCTACATGAAACTTATGGAGGATACGGGAAGGTGGGGTCCCCATTTTCCCCCGTTTTCTTTTACGTGTTGACAGGAGCGGGCCCATCTTTGTCATTATTTTTACGGATTCTTGTTCCGTAAGTAGTTTGGGATCAGAGCCTAATAGCCTATGGGGCAGATCCCACTTCTTATAAGCAGGGCACTTTTAGGCAAAATTTGGGATCCCACTTCTTTCCACGAAACTTGGATCCCGTCCCGGAACGTCGGGGAAGTGGAAGCATTCTCGTACGTGGAGGCGCGAGCGTGATTGCAGGGGTGGTAGTTCTATCGATTTTATAAAGAGGCCTATCCCGTACCCTGCACCGTGAAAGAAGGAGCCCTTGTTTTTTTCTTCCTTTTTTTTTTTCCTGATGTGCAGGCCGTTGGATCCTCGAGGGGCCAGAAGATAGTGCCGCTCCTTAGGAAAAGTTCGTTTTTCTAGTTCGTTTTTCTTTCACGTTCCGTGCGCTGCGCCTCCATCTTTCGCAGCACTTTTACGTTCTTACGAAAAATGGTAGAAGTGGGATCTGCCCTATGGGCCTCGTTAGACACTCCTTACGAGTTCCTTGAGCCACAAGGAAATTTCCTTGTGGCTCTTAAGGAAAAATTGCAGCGTCGTTCCACTCATCCTTGGGGACCTGCCTCGAGGATGTTTCCTTGTGGCATGCCCTCGACCGTTTTCGTACGGAAATTAGTGGCCGCGGGGTCGGTGGTCCTTGGTCCACCGTCTATTGTCCGTGTGGAGGCGGCGTGGTCCAGCGACGTGTGGCGGGAAACAGCATGAGGCGGGCGACGGGAAAAAAAATTAACCCGGGGGGCGTCGATGTTTGAAATTCGAATTTGACGGCTGCGACGACGACGACGACGTGCGGCTGGCGGCGTGAAGACGGTGCACTGCTGAAATGGGCTCAGCAGCGGCGCCACTTCCGTCCCCCGGCCGTTGCGAGTGCGCAGGCATCGTCGGGTGCGTCCATCGCCGTCAACCTTCACACGTCGACTGCGCTTTGAAGCACATTTCCGTCTGCAGGACTGCATCCAAAGAAAAGGGGCCAGCTTTCGACGGACGTCTTCGACTTCTTCGTTGGGTGTGGAAGGACGACTTACACGACAGCGGAGCTACGGGTCCGTGTCCAGGTCGCGACTATGGAGGGCGGCGGAGAGGGTGGACGTGCGGTGTTGACACCTCTTGAGCTGCAGGCCGTGGCGGCGGCCGTGTCTACCGTTGTTCTTCGATGTCAGCAGGAGAGGGCGCTGGGACGACTGAAGGAGCAGTTGCACGCGCGTAGACAGAGGACATTGATGCAAGCTCCAGACGATGGCCCCGACTACGTGGCGACCTCGGAGGCTGTTGTTCAGCTGTGCTACGCGTTGGGTCGCGGAGTGATTCCTCGAGCGACGCCGAGGTGGTGGATGAAGCGCAGGACAGGGAGCTGCCGGTCTGCCATTGGTCAGTCGTCGATCCATCCTGTCGCCGTTCTTGGAAGATCTCCTTTTGTGAGCCGCGACAGGGAGCAGGCCGACGAAACACACGTGGAAGAAGACAACGATGAGAAGCAGCACGACGAGGAGGAGTAGCAGAGGCAGCCTGTGCAGCAGGTCGCCCATGTTAGGACCGTGGAAAGGGCAGCAGCTCCACGTCAGTGGTCGACCGTCCAGCGAAGAACTCCGTCGACAGAAGAAAAAGCGAGGGAAGATCTGTGCTCCGACGTGCAAGGCGTGACGACAACCGACGAAAACGACGATCTTCCAAAACAAAACTGTCATCGCCGAACGCAGCGCCAGCGTGTACAAGCATTCAAATTTCCGACCGTTGTCGACGATCGCCCAGCGCAGCAGACCGCATGACACCGGCCGGCGATGCCCGATTCGGCGGACGGTGACCGTTTGGAGCCGTTGGGGTGCCACCCAGATGGTGGAGGGCAGGGATGTCCGTGCTCCCGTTCGGTGGACCACGTCTGGACCACCCTCAAACTGAAACTGTGCATCGACGCATGCCTTCGCTGCTCCGAATTTCACGTTTCCTTGTGTTCCGAGGGACCTCGGGAGGTCCCTTGGGGATTAGAAAAAAATGGCTGACGCCACAAGGACGCCACGAGGAAATTTCCTTGTGCTGTTTTCACTTTTTTTTTCACAAATGGTCCCCAAGGACAGGCGGACAGGTGGAAAGAGCACTTCCTTGTGGATTTTGGGTCCACAAGGAGTGTCTAACGAGGCCCTATTTCTTTGGTGGTCTTCCTGGACGGGCTCCGACTCTTTATGGGCGCCAGTTCAGGGCGGACTGTTTCATGCTGCAGGTTTCCCCTCTCTGACTGACCTTGGACATTCAAACCTCTACAAACGGACAAGGCAAAACAAAACAAAAAGAAACAAAAAATTGTTCCCTCTTTTTCGTTGCAGTGATGCCCAAGTTGTTCCCTCTTTTTCGTTGCAGTGATGTCCTCGCCCAAAGTTGTGGTGGTTCCTTTTGCGCCCTTCGCCGAGGTGCTGCCACGACGCATAAGTTTTCCCTCGCTGATTGGACATTCAAACCTCTACAAACGGACAACGCAAAACAAAAACAAAAAAATAAACAAACAAAAAAAGCAAAAAAATCGTTCGCTCTTTTCGTTGCTGTGATGTCCAAATTGTTCCCTCTCTTTCGTTGCAGCCGTTCCCTCTTTTTCGTTGCTGTGATATCCAAATTGTTCCCTCTCTTTCGTTGCAGCCGTTTGCGCCCTTCGCGGACGTGCTGCCACGACACACACACAAAAACGCGGGCAAAATATTTCGGCATCCGCGCCGACCTCGGAAATATGTGGGATCTCAAAGCTACAGTAGAGGTGGGCTGTAGTGTAGAGGTGGCATCAGACCCTTAGACCCGAATCTTTCGGCGGGCTGTGGGTGGGCTCTCCGTGGAAAGGTGGAGTATTTAGATCCGAATCTGTGAGTGGGCTGTGGGTGTGGGCTGTGGGTGGCCTGCATGAGAGCGACGAGAACAGTGGAACTGGAAGGTTGCCGTGAGGCTGTGGACAGGCGGCGTATTGAGATCCCGAAGTCTGTGGTTGTGTGTGGGGTTTCCACGAGAGCCAAGAGGTGAGTGCAGGAAGGGTGACACTGTGGCTGTCCACATCTTGACACGTGGTGGGCGGTCGCGATGACTTGGGGCGCGGAGGGTCTCCCGGGGAGACAGAGACATGGAAGCGCCAGAGGACGAGTCCCATTACTCGCCGTACTGCTGGTCATGATTGTTCTTGTCCAGCTGACTTACACAGCATCCGCTACATGCGCTGCTGGCAACGGCATCGGGCATCGGTATCCGGAGAACAAGGCGGACTGCAGCAGGTGAGCCATCCTGAATCATCAATCAAACGTGTGGCCATAGTGCACGGGGCACATCTCAACACGTGATTGTCTTGTACTGCACAGATCGACTGTACACATTCACATTCATCATGGGGGGTGCCTTGTGTTGATCGAAAAACGATAGGGCCTCGCGAGGTGTTTTACCATCTCTCTCTCTCTCTCTCTCTCTCTCTCTCTCTCTCTCTCTCTCTCTCTCTCTCTCTCTCTCTGCCTGCTCTCTCTCTCTCTCTCTCTCTCTCTCTCTC